TTCTAGTCTAGGTTACCAGCTGAGACGATTTATCGCTTCACTGGGTGAGTTTACCAATTACCGAGCATTGTGTGATGTGAAATGTGGATGCAGCACCCTATAATTCCAGATTTTTCATTTTTTAATATTTCGATTAATATTCGATTCCGTTTGATGTCTAAATTGTTATTAAATTTAATATCTGCGAGTTGAACTTTGTTTCAAACTTAATTATTTTCCCTTTTTGAATTTTAATTTAAATATATGATTCCTCCATTTTAATTGTGTTTCAGTATTTCTTACGAACTGAAGTCATATCTGTACTTAATATAGGCATTTATTTATGTGCTTCATTGTTAAATATATTTGTATGTATATTTGAATAAAAATCTTAAATGTTTCAGGTGCAGTGTACCGAAAAATCTGCCTTTACTCTTTAACTTTTTTTTTCCTTTTACCTTTTGTTTTTAGAATTTTTCTTCTTTACCTTTTAATTTTTGCGTAGCGAAGTTCAATTATAAATTTATTTTTCAAAATCTGCGACCTGCGTTACAAGCGAGTTAGATCGTTTATAAGTGTCTGTATGGCTGAATTTTTATCAATGTAAAATTTTTCCCTTGTGTAAAATTATTTGGGTAGTATGAAAAGTGAATTGGATATTAACTACTGGAACTCAAGATTAGAATCGCAGTGGATCGATTTTCCATAGGATCCACAGCTTTTCCGCCGACATATGATCGAAACCAGAACTCAAAGACAGGCTTCGATGCTATGCCAGATCAATGCTACGCTACTGTCAGTTCTATGCAGGTGTCCTAAAACCTGTAGTTTAATCATATTTTTCCACTAATTATAAACATTGCCTATTATATCTAGTGTCCATCGTGAACGGTTACGTCGTAGCCGTTTCTGTTATATAATTTGTCGATTCTACGTAGAATTAGAACTAGGCCGGTGTCACTGCTATGCCATATCGATGGTACAATGGTGTCGATTCTATGCAGCATAAGGCCCATGCCTATGACGCTAAGATCGAGATATGCAGTGTAAGTTCGATCGTGTAAGGATGTTGTGCCGGTATCAGTGCTACATCGATCCTGTGCCGGTATCAGTGCTACATCATTCGATTCTATACCTCCCCAAACTGGGGCGGAAGCTTAACAGTTAACTAGGTTCCGCAATACTTCAATGACTTGCGGTACTACAGAAGTGCTGGCCCAGCTTCTACATGTTCCTATCGATTCTATGTTGTATTAATGATATGTTGGTGTTAATTCTACGCCATGTCGATTCTACGCAGTATTCGGTCTATTCCTGTTCGATCCTATACTGATATCGCTTCTACGCCGTGTCAATTCTACGCCTTCCTACGTTTGTATCGATCCTGTGCACGTGAGGAATGGACATCATGTTACTGAGTATTATGTCATTATCAAAATTTCACTTTAATAGTTTAGATTGTATGCCAGTGTCGGTTCTGAGCGTATCAGTGCTACGCAGTATCGATCCTACACAGTTGTGATCCTTTGCAGTGTCTATTTTATGAATGTAAATCCACATGAATGGGCATTAATGGAAATTTCTGACGTTCTCTCCCTTGAAACCGTTACTGTGCTTGTTATATGTCAACTTTTTTCTCTTAGATTTGCATTTTGCATTACGGCAGTCATGTAAGCAGAAAGCATTTTTAGTAAACAATAAATCATTTGACACGATTTAAAGGAAATTTTGCCGGCAGGAGACGAGGGTGCTACATCCTTGCAATAGATTGAATTTACAGACTAGCTTTCAAAGTTATTTTCACCTGGAACCAAAGCATGCTAAGCAGTTGCATGCATCAGTGCATCAAATATGACTTTATCGACTTCTTCATATTTTATTATACACTTTGTCTTTTAACTGTAATAAATGTTCAAAGTTTTCACGAGGAGAATGTGCAATGAGAGGAAAATGGGAGGATAACTTGACAAAGGTATGTTAGCCTTAGTATGTCAGAATAAGGTTAATATTTCAACTGTTTGTTTGAGTAACTATGAAAATATACATACGGGAAAAGACGGGAATTGAAGAGAGAAATTCTGTACCGTGTTCTCACTATTGTATAGCTTTTGTAATGCACTTGTATATTTAATCGCTTTGGATTATAATCTAACACATCTTGCGGTTTATACCATTAACCGAAAAATAATGTCGTGTTTTGGCAATAATAAAACTAATCGTTACAATTAAGCCTTTCCTTTTACCTTTCTTTCTTTTGTATTTTTTATAAAACTTACTGAAAACAATTTTCGAACAGCTCAATTTCGTTACATAAGACGAATAATATGGCAAAAAAGAAAACGGAAGAAATATTTAATGTGAAAGGTTTAAAGAAAATTTTTAAATCTACTTTTAGTAAAAAACAATTTACCCAGGTGTAAGGTTGCTTTTTTTTAAACCTAATTTTAAACTTTACGATGTTAGCAATATTTTACATTAGCTTCTAAACCTTTTTTAATAAAAAAATTTATGATTGTATGTTTCTCATTTTTAAACATTTTAGAAAAACTTTAAAGAATTTTCTTCAAATAACCGTCACGTAATTAAAATGATTACATTAAGGAAACTTCCAAATTGAATCACTCAAAATTGCCGCTATGTGTGTACAAGAAAAATTAATTACCAAACTTTTTTTAAATAAGAAATCTTAAACTTTTCTATCTTACTTGGCGTGTAAATCAAAATCACATTCGTTTCCCTTTTGTACATGCATTAATGCGCATTAGTAAATTATATCGCGTAAAATAATTTCTATTAAACCCTCTTTAAAATCTGAGCTTTTATTTGCCTTTTAAACTCTTTGGAGTTAAGGATATTATTTTTAGCTCTATTTTATAAAAAGGCTAAATGGAACCTGAAAAAGCGTTGCTTTATTACTCGGCTCTTAAACCGAAAACCAGTTATTTTCATTTGCTTGTAGGTAACTTCCGTAACTATAATATATCGAGTAAGGTTATATCTATTGAGTGCTACAACAGATTGAACATTACAAAAGTGGCCTTCATATTATGTAAACGTATCTGCTGAAGTACTGACCCAATACTATATCTGTTATGACCCGGGAAAGTTATTAGTCCGGATATAAAAACATAAGAAGACTCGATAAGCTGAACTGAATGTATACGCTATTTGATAACAAATGGTTTCAATGATCTCAAAGCCATTACTACAAATGTACGGAATTACAGTTACTTTACGTCACTGCACTGTAACGAGAACCATTAAATTTATAATGCTATTATAGAAGAGACACTGAATATCTTTGAGAACTATTATGGATGTAAAAATGTACTTATGTATATTGGTCCCTGTTCGGGCGCCAATGTAAAGATTCTGTACTGTGTACTTTAAGTTATAGTTGAATGTGAAGAATCTTAAGAACTAGCAAGCGAATAATCACGTGAGTTCGTGGGGTAGAAAACATTAAGTGAGAAGGGTGAAATAAGCCTTTATTATTCCAACTAAAGTTTAACAGAAATCCGTCTTGGAGTTTTACAATAAAGCCGACACTCGGGCTTGAATTAAGGAAACTAAGAATTAAAACTTAACTAATCTTAATTGAAAAGATATAGCCGAAGCTATCAAGATTCTAATGGAGTTGGCCTCTTAACGCTAATTGACTGCGAAGCTATCAAAGGCCGAGCGTAATAATAGCTTACGAGAGAGTAGCCTAAAAAGGCCGACGCGTGCTATCCAGAATATCGGGTATCTCTCTCCCTAAGGCAATAGAACTTCGCGGTTAAATACTGCTCTTCCTCAATTTGCATTCAAACGTGATTCTAAAACTATGTTCTGGCCGGAAGTGGTAAGTTGAAATTAAGAAGCGATAGGAAAGGAAGTTTAACTCAAAATTTAACTGTTGATAAAATTATCATAATCCTTACAGTATAAAATTTAAGTCTTCTGAAGATTAAAAGAAATTGGAATTTGATCTTGATATTCAGATTTCAGTTTAGCACCTGAAATAATTTTAAGCACGACGGTAGGCCTTTTAATTTAAGAATTAGCATCCCAGAAATTACATATTGTTATTTATAATAACAATATGTATATAAATTATATGCACCATAAATTCTTATATTTAAGCTGAGCTATTCGAAATGGTAAAATCAAATGGTAGAAAAAAAATCTGTGAGATTTTAATTGATGCCACATTGATTAAGACGTAACTCTTCAAGATATAGCTACACATTTATTTCACCGGAATACTTGCACAAGAGGTTTGCAACCAATATTTCCCTTAAGCGGCTATATTTTATATTTTACTCTCATACAAAATCTACATGCTGAAATCAATAAGCACATTTTTAATGCGCTTAGTAAAAAATATTTCTTAGAATTAAATAGCCAATCTTTTCTTTCGGAGCAAATTATTCTGCGCACGTGCATTAGTTCACTCATTCTAAATACACTGGGAACTTTGCGCCATCTGTCGTGCAAAGAGCTGATATAAAATGAATACGAAGAAGGTTGAGTATTTTCAATCTCTAATATTTTAACTCCTGTATGTTTTATCTCAGGTAGTTTTGAAAAAAAAAAAAAAAAAAAAAAAATTAACACTCCTTAAATCCACTTCTCTGAAACCAGATCTATATGCATACACAGTCCACCGACACACATGTATATTTTTTATTATTCAGTTATTCACATGTATTACATGAAGACCGTATAGAGCTTTATAACTTTTTTTATAGTTTATGTTGTATTCAACGTCATATACGTAGGTGATATTTAAATTTATTGAAATTGCAAAAGTTGTCAGTAGAAGTTAGGTCGGCAACAAAAAAAAAATCTTTTGCACAGTGCGCTGATTTTGCGGCTGCTGTTTGACAGAACCATTCCCCCTCCCTCCGTAAGTGGCGCGACTGTTGAAATTTTCAAGGCTGTTGTTTTTTGTATGCTGTTATTGCTTATTTCTCGTATTGCATAATGGTATGATTTTTTAAACCTCAATTTTTATTTTTATTCCTTTTTTTTTACAGATCGACCCCAAAGTTGCCTTTCCAAAACGGGCACACCCAAAGGTAAGAGGAAAAAAAAAACCTGTTTTTTGCTACTTTTTCAGTGCTTCTCCTCTTTCAGATTCTCGCCGGCAGAGCTGTTTGTTATTATTATCAACTTTCCGTCTCTTTCTATACTATAAAAACGAAAACTCAGATTTCTCCCTCATCTTAGGTTAGAGTAATTTTAAGTTCTCGGGACTAAATACGTTATTTAAAGGCTGAGTTATTTATAGAGAGGGTCTTTGAATACTTAAAGAAACGTTACTTTGTTCCTGGGCGCGTTGTTCCGGGACCATGTTTTTTTATATATGATCTGACAACAACCGCGTAATATCAGAAACTGTGCTATATCGAGCTCCGTTGTAACAGCGGAATATTGTCTTACCAATGTAACAGTGAAATATTGTAACTGTGTTGTCTCGTATAACAAGGATGGCTCTACGTCATGACATGTTAGAATTCAGGAAAATTTAACAGCCACAGTTAGAGTTTCTGGAATAGCAACTAAATACTTGTGCTGCGACTGAAGTCTTAAAAAATGCTTTAAATAGAATGTGACATTTTAAATAAATTAAATGGAATTTTGCATCTTTATATAATTACCATGGTTACTTTGTAGAAATTGTATTTGTACGTCTTGAAATTTTTACAGTATGAAGCGTTTAAAATTTTTTTTTATGACGTATTTTTTATTAGTACTTTTTTCCTTTCAGATTTCCTTTTTTATTTCCTTCCTTGAATAATAATAATAGAGCAACGTTTTATATTATTTCAGTTTTGTTTTCAAATTACAGTTGTCGACTGATTTTACTAGAGATAAATTTAAAATGAAAGAAGACGTAATGATCATTTTAATAATATAAAACATCCTTCCTCCCGGATTTGAGTGCAGCATAACATAATAATTAAAAAAATAGCAAACTCTTATTTACTGTTAACACATACGCACTCCTTTGAAAAGAATTAACACAAGTGACACAAGACAGCGCACACTCCGGTAAAATTGCCATTTGAAATATAGAAATTATTTCTACTGAGCTGTTAACTTGTCATAATTTTTGCATAAGAAGTAATTAGTAAGTTTAGTTTTTCTCGCGCAACCAGTATGAGAACCAACATACGAAAATAAAAATATAGGTTTGAATCATAGAGTCATTTCCTAAGCAATAAAGCAATTTTGTAGCATAACTATTAGTTGACATTATTCCAAGAAATAAAATGAACCAAAATCTAATCGATATGGTACAGATTTCAGATCGAGTTAAAAAAGCAAGAAAACAGATGAAGTGGTTTTATGAAGTAAGCCTTGGCTTGATGTACTCTATGAAGCAAACATCTGAAAGAAACTCTATGAAGGTTGCATCGTGTAACTCCATGTTTACTTCATAGACTTCGAGAATCACAACCAATCTCCTTGTATCATAGGTATATAGTATGTTTCTCGAATTTCAATGCGCGTCCTACATTGGTTTGGCATATTCTGCACGAAATTGTTCCAAGATCATTCTGTAGATTATTTTCTTATTCTTCTTGCAAGGGATTTTGAAGCTTAGTTGTACGCATGTTGAGGTGGTGGGCATTCTAACTGGACTTAAAGAATTTCCGAGATATGTGTGATAGGACTGATGTCAGAAGAATATGCAGACCAAGTCATGCGGATGATTCCTGGTATTACATAACCTCGTGTTACCTGCCCTCTATGGGTAAGTACTCTTGTTGACGATCATAAAATCAGGACCTACTATTTTCCAGAAAAGACGGATATGACTTAAAATATATCTGAATCAAAATCATTTCTGCTGTGATGGACTCTGATGAAAGATATACAGCAATATTCTGGTGTTATATATGCTCTGTTTTATACCATACACCATTTGGCATCCAGGATCTTAACCAAGAATCCATCTGAGAGTATCACCATTGTTCATCCTTAGTTGTTGGCGATACTTCCTGCGGCGTTGGAACCTTTTTCGACTACGGCGTAATAATATAAAACATATGCCTGGTTTCCGCGAATATATATATAACCAGGGCTTAATTTCTAAAATTAGAAGTGCCAGAGCCCTATTTAAGACCGTCAGCAAATAGGAACAATAGCAAATAAATAAATAAAATTAGTATTAAACTCATTAAAATTTTTTAATTAAATAATTAATTATTATCAGATTAATTAATAGCTATTTAATTAATGTTTATAAATTGTTATTTAATCAATAATTATTAGATAATTATTTAATTATAATTCGATTGACAATTATTAGATAATTAATTAATTATTATTTATTGAAATAATTAAAGATTAAAGTAATTAAATAATTAAAATTAAATGTAAATGGATAAATTAAAATTTAATAAGCGATTTTTAATATAATTTTATTGCTAAAGATAAAATTTTCGAGATAAAATTTCTACTGAAATTGTTATTCAGTTACATAAATGAAGTGCCGCAGCCTTCTTATTTAGGGCTCCGGTGTGCTCCGGCTAGAATTATGATTTATTACAAAAAACTAAGAAGCATCGAAGCTGGAATCCGGTGAACTCTGGCCCAATTTAAACTCTGATCGTATTGGAAAATCATCACAAAAATTAAATATACATAAAGTATAGCTGATGAAAATTAAGATAATGCTAAAAACAGGGCGGAACAGAATGAAGGCATGAGGGCATGAGTAGGTAGAAACAAAAAATGAGGTGAATCTTGGTAAGACAGTACGTTCTCTTTGACCGCGGCTCTCTGCTGATATAATTATAGCCATTAAGCGGATGAGTGTCAGAGGTAAAATGAGTCCTGTATCTGACTTCTAAGGATGAATGTAAAGTTGTTGGTTACACTTTTCGCCTCCCGTATTTGGTTATATTAGTGGGTACTGGGGGAAGACGATGTATAAGACGTGCTTGACGATGTATAAGATGTATAAGACGAGCAGTTTATCTCAGCATTTCACTCTTATTGTACTCGCTGTCACTTAACGCACATTTAAGAACACAAATTTTCCTTCCTGGGAGGATAACTAACCATCGATAACAATACACTATATACGATGGCATGGCGAGAAATTTAAGCGTTGCTAAACAAATTCTCCCAAATTTATTGCCCTTCTGAAAGGAAAAAGTTTCTGCATGTGAGTGAGGGGACTTTACTTGAACGTCTGATGTTCTCATGAGTTCGTATTTCAACGGAAATTGAGTATTGCTAGGTCTGCTTATTGTTAAACTAAAACGTTAAGAATCCCTTTTTTCCCCTTGAAATTGTGGTTCAGTTTTATAAAAAGAAGTACCGGAGCTCATCTTATTTAGGGCTCCGGTGCGTTCCGGCTAGAATAGTAATTTATCTTAAAAATTGAGAAGTACCGGAGTCGGACTCCGGCGCAATTTAAGCACTGTATATAACCTAACCCAAAAGCTTTCAGTGGATGGAAAAGAGTTATAATACACAAGTAGGTGTCTCTAACACTCTCAAGGTTTGTAGAAATTTGCTTAACTACTATCTAAAGCAGAAAAATACTGATCAGTTGTTGCTGCTGTAACCGATCGCGGCCATCACGATGCATATGTAGGACTGTATTTATGAAATTTTCTTAATTGTCAGATGATAAAAGATACTTAAAGACACCCATATGATAAAAGATACTTAAAGATACCCATATGATAAAAGATACTTAAAGATACGCATATGATAAAAGATACTTAAAGATATACATTCCTTGCAATTTAAGTTCCATTTTATCCCGCTTTAAGATGCCTGATTCCTCCTCCAATATCGTACATGTTCAAATAAAGATATTTTGCGGCCCAGCATTTGATGTACCCACCTGTACTTCTTAACAGGATACTAGAAATGTAATGTGTTAATGTCCAAGTACGAGGTTTTTACGGTACCGGCACCGTGTTTCGAATTAATAGGAATTGATAACTCCTTTCTTTTATTATTTATGATAAAGTTATTATAACTGCTTTTCTTCAGTGCTTTTCCTGCATCTACGCACTAGCTAAGAAGTGAGACTGGGCTAAAATCACTGTTCCTTAATTATTGCCAAGTTGTGCAATTCATTGGATGTGAATGCATTTTGTTTTCTTTAATGCAACATAAATTTATACAGTGTAGTATCGGTCAGCAGTATCTTAAATATATCATCAGTGCAGGGTGTTGCTCATGGTTTTTTTTTTCCCTGGTAGCCCTTTTCCTGTTTTAAAATGTTTGAGAATACAGATTTAAGACGCATAAATGGAATTGTTGTTAGAATTGAACTGAAAGTCAATTGCGATCATTGCATGCATATGTGATAAAAAATTAAGTTATTGATTTACTGAGTTAAATTTCTGAGTATTAATTAAAAGAGTGTATCGTAACCCGATTTCTACTTCAGATTATATTTTAAGAATAGAACTGCCAGTTGTTACAAGGAAAGCTACAATTTTCTCATGTCTGCGGTATAACATAAAATTCAGTTCGTCTGATCAATAATTCCCCAGTAATAAGCTCTGCTGATTTAACATGACATTATCCTAGCTTTCTGCAAACAAAATTTGATAAATTTTTCTGTGAAGCACACTTTTGGAATCGCAAAGAAACAAACTTTTTTGTTGCAAAAATAAATTCATATTTTTTTAATGATGTAGGGCGTCAAAATCACTAAATTGTGTAGCTGTATACTTCTTGCAATTGTAAAGAAAGCTAATTAGACCAAAACTTGATATTAGCTGTATTTCCATCAACATCAAGAACAGTTGATGCGCATGCGCGCCCATTCCGTTTACTCACCGAAACGGGATGTCTACTTTCCGATGAGAAATCCATGTTCTCCCGCCATTCTGAGGAAGGTAAAAGGGAAAGAAGGAATGAGGGAGGGATGGCAGCAAAACACCGAAAATTTTGGCAAAGGAAGAGAAGATTTCAGCCTCAATAGTTCATCTTCGTCTCGAGTTGTCAGGAGGACGACGTTATTTCGCACTGGGGAGTCAGTCGTATCAGATGAAGACATTTTTCAAATCGAGCACCAAAAGAATTAAAAAGAAGAATG